CCGACCCCGTCAAGAGTCAAAGTTGAGCCAGCAACAACAGTCTTTCTCTGTCCATTGATTGTTACATCGATTCCGGGGATAAATTTCCGACAATCAGCAGATTCCTCAGATTGCAGATTGGGGATCGGGCCAGGCCACAACTTTCGTAAGAAAATGCTTTCAGCTAAATGGTTCTTTATCTAATCGCAGACGAAACCGGGGATGATGATATCTGTGTGTTTGCTGGGAGATCAGAGGGGAATTTCCGGAGAAATATCAAGCGGGGAACCTCTTAGATTCAAGAGAAATCCAGTTTGTCGCATGAGGGAATCACCCAGGAGGAAGCGTTTCGGACCCCATAAAGTATATAATTTCTGGATCAGCTGGATAGCTGAATCACACACTCTTCCTCGTGCAATGTGTGCCCTCTGGTGGAGGAGAGCGGGATAGCAACACACATATTGACGAGCACGACGAGCCGCGGCCCTTGCCGCACCTCACAACGTTCCTGGTCGTCTTTGATCGATAATAAAAGCACGAAGGGTAGTCCGTAAAATTATTTAAAAATACTATTTAGGCGCTTTGAAGTATTGTGATGTATCGCATATGTTTCAGGGCATATATGGACACTTCCTTGGCCCCTTTTCCATTTCCATTTCCATGCACTGCCCTGCGATTATCCCACATGATATGATATGAAAGTTATTCTCATTTCGCTGTGATTTATTTCAATTATGTAAGCTCCGTTCCCATCAAAGTTCGATCATCGTTGGTTTCCTAATTTTTTTCCCGTTTTCGGTTTCCCTGTGCAGTCCACAGTCCGCACTCTGCACTCTCCACTCTCGCTGGAGCCGCCCCAAAATGCTGCTGCTCATTTGCTGCTCGGGCTAAATGCATGCAAAGATGCAGATGGATAGCGTTTTGGGGCGTAGTGGGCGTGGCTGCAGCTGACGACTACTGACGAGGTCGTGAGTATCACTCAAATTGCCTTGCCGCATTCATCATCTGCGTCTCCATCTCCATCTCGGACTCGGACTCCCAGAGCCACCAGTAACATGTGAATCGCCAAAGAGAGAAGAAGAAACGATCGGAGCTGTTAGTTTAGTCGACTGAAGGCGTGTCTTTTGCCAGAGACGATGTCGTTATATATGTACGTACGAGTATGGAGGGGGTGGGGGGCTCTGTAATGGCCAGCCATGGGTCTGCAGACCACAGATCAGACCACACTTGTCCCAGCGACAGTTTCCGACTTTCTCACCTCGAGTACGTACGCTGAAGTGGCAAGACTCTTGAGGCAGAGACCCACAGCCACAGCCACAGCCACAGCCGCAGCCACAGCCAGGCAATAAAAGTTCAGGCGGCGGAGTGACAAACCCACATGGAGGCTGTGGGGCGGCAGGAGTCGGAATCGGAATCGGAGTCGGAGTCGGCCAGTCTGCCATTTGAGCTAAGCTAAGCTTTTCATTACTTTATTTTCGAGTCTAAGCTCAATCTGAATCTGTCTTGCCAATATAAAAACAACAACCACAACGGCCACAACAGCATCCATGGCTCCTAAAACGAGGCTCCACAGCGGACTCCAATCGCATTCGTTGTTTGCCAAATCCAAAGCAGACAGACAGACGGACAGACGGACGGACGGACAGAAAGAAAACAAGAAATAAGTATATTACTAAAGACAGGCAAAAGGTTAGCCGGTAGGAGAGGCGCTGCACAACGAATTCTTGGTGCCCTTTTGGGGCATACTAGAGTCGCTAGAATTTAAGGAAGGCAGTGTTCTTGCCACAATCTTGGAGAGCGGGGCATCTATTGGGGCTCTGAATATTCACTCCTTGTACTCCCCATCATTCGGGCACTTGTCAACCCCGGCCAAAGGGTATACTCTGGGACAGCGACGACGCGAGTGGGGAAAAAAGGAAACAAAAAAAAGAGGCAAACAGAAATCGTTTTTTGCGCAATCCTCACAAATCTGATAAGCAGTTAGAGAGCATTAGACCAGCCAGCACACACACACACACACCACATCCAGAGCCAAGACAAGACGGAGCCCCTGCATCAGACCCAGTCCCAGTCCCAGTCCCAGCATCAGCTAGAGTCCCAGTCAAAATCCAACGAACGGGCCCGGGACTGGGTCTGAGACCGGGACCGGGGCCAACTTTTGAGTGTGGCTGGCAGCTTAGCCTCAGAGTCTCCCCCAGCCATCGCCTGCCGGTCCCCACCTTTGCCCCACTGCCGCTCCCATTGATGCTCGAGAGCGCTGTCGCAGAGAGTCGCCGCGACGTAACATGCAACATTACATGCCTATAATTTGTTTTCACACAGCAGGACGTTTTCACTCCATAAGACATCAGAAAGAGGTCTTAAATGGTCACATTACTGCCATTTCCAACAGCGTTCAAATGGGACCCAGGCTCTGGCTCTGGCTCTGGCTCTGGCTGTGCCTCTTCCACTGGACTCTGCCCCTCGATGGTGGCACTGACTCTTCTGCCTCTTCTGCCTTGTGCCTTTAGGCAGATATCCATGCAACGCCTTTGGCCAATGCAATGCAATGTTCGCTAACTGTTATTTAATATAGTCATTATTTGGCTACAACTTGTCCCACTGAGCAAATGGCACTTGATTCGACTTGGACTTCAGTGTCCCCACCCCACCCCACCCCCTTCCCTCCCAAGCAAGCAAGCAACCAATTTTTCAACGCATCTGCGTGGCTGCCTCTCCATTCACCGTTGTTTGGTCGAACTTTGGCAGACCAGAGACACCCCAGCCACATGTGGCATGCGGCATTTGGCATGTGGGATGGGGACCTAGGAGGAGTCTGCTGGAGAATTCCTCTCACCTCAATGCACCGCTGATCGAATGCACAAGTGCTGGAGATGGTCAGCAGGAGCGGGAGCACCGTATCTCATCCCCCGACTCCATTCGAGTATCTGCGGCTAAGCCCCAATTTGGATTATTTGTAGACATTAAGTGGAGCCGCAGTCTGCGCAGTCTCCTCTGTGCTGCTACAGGAATTAAGCCTGCGCGAATGAAGAGTTAAAAATATCCCCAAGACTGGCGCGCGTCTCGTGTTTGTCGCTGGAGCGCCCAGATCCAGTGTGAGCGATAAAGGTGCAGCTGCTGGCTGCCCAGAGAATGGGGCGGGGGGGCAGGGGGCAGGCAGGCAGCACATCTCCACACAATTCAATTGAGTGGCAGTGGCAGTGCCAGTGCCAGTCCGAAGGGAGAGGAGAATGCATTTACATATGAGTACGCCGTCGAGTCCGAGTGTCCTTTACCGTTGTACAGCAGCAGACAGCAATAACAATAACAATATAATAATAATAAAAGTTAAAGCCAAGCAAAACAAAACCCCAAAAGAGAGCTCCCACTGCGGCCCACACTAAACAAGTTAACATCGAAGCGGACCAAAAAGCAGCAGCAGCAGCAGCGGCAACGGCAGCAACAACAGCAGCGGCAGTCAACACCAACAATAAAACCCAACACAGAGAAAACGAGCTTTGGTGGGTGGAAGCTTTTGATACCCTTTCTCAACAGCAAGAGAGACAAACCGTAAAATAAGTGCTCGTAGCCGTCACTTTTAGTGACAAAATTATGTTTTCCAACACACACTGACAGCCAGCAGAATAATCTCTGCCGCAGCGCTGCTCGCAGCTCTGCTTGAAAGCCAAGCTCACGCATATAGCTCTCTCGCTCTCACTGCATTGTGTTCCCATAAGGTAGCAAAGTCTAATTTTATACAGCTGTAATATATGTATGTACTTTTATGACATATCCTTAGTTTTGCTGCTGGTCAAAATCGTAATACCTTCCAGAAAGAGCATAACAAAACACAAAACGCAGATCGGCGCAGCGAAGAGAGGAGACAGCAAAGACAGGGAAGAGTGGGAGAGTGGCACAAACAAAAACACAACACAAAAAAAAAAGTATCTTCAAAATACACTTATGCTGTCTTTTATGGCATATCTTTTACTTATTTGCCCGCACTTAAGTATCGGCGCAGTGCGCTGTCGGAGTGCTGCTGCCTTTTTTTATTTCCTTCTGCCTTGTTTCTGATTTTTCGTGTTTTTATTTTTATTTTTGTAAATGAAATGAAATCGAAATACGAATATGGGTCGGCGCGCAGTCTGAGCCCTCCTCCTGCCGATGCCCCCCGTCCTACTCCCCATCCCCCTCTCCATCCGCGAAAGAGTGAACTCGAAACACACTTCTTCGTCTCCCATAAGAGATCCCCAGAGCAATATTATTGGCACGAATTATTAACCTTTTCTTTTTCTGTTTTTTTTTTGGTGGTGCACTTTAAGCCCACATCTCGAGCGAGAAATTGGCCCAAACATATACATACACATGGTATGAGGAATGATTGCGCTTCGTTATAAATGGAACGTGAGTCTACACATTCGTATTCACATTCCTGCATTCATATTCATGTATTTATACATAATTTCGAAGAACTTTCACGGCAGTGGGTTATAATCATAAATAGTGAGGCACGGCACAGATCTACGTACTTCGTAATTGTACTCCTATTTGGGGCCTGACCTTGCCCACGGCCAGAGATGAGTTGTGTCAGGCGGCTGCCAAGGGCAAAGGGCGCTGCGATGTGATGTGACGACTCTCCTGGGATTACGGTTTCACACACACACACTCACGCACAATCTATAAATTTTCTGTCAGTCCCGCTTGACGGTGTTACATTTACTGCCAACTTTTACGTATCGCGCGGAACGTTCACGTTCACGTTACCAATTACACCTTCCGACTTGGCCACAAGCAAAATCAAAATGAAGATCGCGCGCGCCAACTGCCTGTTCATTCTGCTGCTATTTTGAATTTTTTGTCCGAGCCAGTGTGACCTCGGATTTATCGATAAAATATACCGTCCGACCCTCAGAAATATACCGAAACATACCGCCTCATTTTCAAAATATACCGTAAATATACCGTCGGCTCATTTTGGACCCCGAAAAATATCAAAAATACCGTAAACGGTCACCCTGGTCCGAACCGAATGTTGTTGTTTTAATTAAAGTTAATTTTATTTAAAAAATAAGTACGCTTACGCCCAGACCCCGCCCTAGAAAGTGTGTGCAACTGGCCGAACGTTACCCTAGATTGGCTGATCAACGAAAAACTGGTGAATAGGTGGAGCTTGGAGCTGGTTTTCATTGACCAAAATATATGGGCGTTGACGGAAGATGCTTCTGCTGGCTGCCTGGTGGCAGCGCGTCACGCAGGCCCAAACGAATTAAACAAACATGCTTCAGACACTCTTTTGACCCATCATTACTCTTGTGATTCTGTGATTGTAGAAACATGGTTGTGCTGAGCTCCTGCTGGTCCCCCATCATCTGGTCGGACAATGTCCGCACGGGCAGCTACGCTGTGGCCGCGTACACGGCCGCCTTGTCGGTGGTGATGATCACGATTATCGCCTATATGCTGGCGGGCGGTGAGTCGGCCCAGCTCTATTCACCACTATTCGAGACGGACATCAAGACGTCGATGCCCATAGCTGGCGGCTTCTTCATCATATACTTTCTCCTGATCATTGCTGCCTCCTATCTGGTGTACTTTGGCATTAAGATCAGGTGAGTGCTGGAGTCATAAACTATGGGAGATCTTACTACATTAATGCCTCTCTACAGCACTCGCGGCTGGCTCCTGCCCTGGCTGGGTCTGGTGGGCCTTGCCATTCTCTTCCAGTTCTGCTGGAGTCTTTGGCTCATCGGTGGATACTACATCTATGTAAGTGGGAAAAGCAGGCAAAGTGAATCCTCAATTTAATGATTGCTCTCTCCCACAGCTGGAACAAACCTTTTCGGCTCTGCTCAACTTCGTTTGGATGGCCTACAATGTGAGTAAATATACGAATATCCCATCCCCATCTTAACCAATTTTCTCTGCTTCGATAGATATACTGTTGGCTGGTAGTCTTCTCTCAGTACCAGATCTTCTTACAAATCCAGAATCCAAACATTGAGCTGCTGATGCCGTGATGAGGCTCGAATAACTTTTCGAATTCTTAGACTTGACACGCAACAAAAGTCCGTCCAGAGACAGTTTTGTAATAAGAATACATTTCATTTCCATTACACACAGAGATGCCTACCAAATAGTTTTATAAATATATACATTGTACGCCTTTATACACATCTACTATACATCTATAATGTATGAATCGAATGCCTTAGTCTGCTTTTTGACCATTAAAAACAATTATTCGTAAAGATAATACGTCTACTGAGTGTAGTGTTTGTTGTGGGATCCGATCCTCGAAGGCAGGGCATGGCATCGAGACATGTGGGTGGTGCATCAGCCATTAAGTAAGTTCTAAGTGTGTGTACGCATTAAATATATATATGTATTTATATTTAGAGAAAGTTACAATTTGTACAGAAACGATTAATCAAACAGACGAACTTTAGCCCCGTAAAGAGACAGGGGCCAGATCTGAATGGCTTTCTGGGTGTGGTGTGAGTGCGACAAAGCTGAGTGAAGGCCAGGCCAACGAACTCAAACCTGGCTCAAGCCTAGGCTCGAGTGGGATCGGGGAGGAGGGTTTTCAAAACACTAAATGTACATTATGGTAAAATCTTAGGGTCGAATAATATACAGAGCGCAGCGCCAAGTACTGCTGTACTGCCCACGCCTGGTGTTGAACACAGGACAGTGGGCTCTTGCGGTTGCTATTCCTAGGTCTTCTCCTCCTTCTCCTTGTTGTACCGCTCGAGCTCCTTGAGGAACTGGGCCTTCGGCTTCATCACATTGGGTCGCTCGCCACGGCAGTTCGGACAGAACCACTTGCCCTTCGGCTTCAGCACCAGGGACACGCACGAGAAGTGGAACCACTCGATGGGGCACAGGTCGTTGTCGCACAGAATCATTTCGCCAAAAGAGATCTGCAATGAAAACAGTGTAACGTTAGCTGTCTCTCTCTTTGGGTGCCACTCCACTCCACTTACCTGGTTGCAGACGCAGTAGGTCGGCTCATCCGGATCGATGGTCTCCGGCGGCGGCGTCTCCTCGCGTGCATTTGCTGTTGTGTTCGAAGCGCCCGCGCCGCGTACCTTGCGTTTCTTCTTCTTGCCCGAATTATTGCCGCCTCCTCCTCCGCCACCACCACCACCACCGGCTCCTCCTCCCGCCCCGCCGCTGCTCGTGCCACCGGATCCGCTGGCCAGGCTGCCACCCGAAGTTCCCTGCAGGTTCCCCTTGCGCTGACCGGCCCCAGCACTGCCCAGGGAGCCTTTGCGTTCCCCGTTGCCGCTGCCACTGCCACCGGCCTCGTTGGCCGAGTTCGATTCGTTGCCGCCCATCTCCAGGGAGCTGCCGTTGACCAAGCTCTCGTTGCGGCGCCGCGAGCGTTTGCTTCCCCCTCTCTGCAAATCACCGCCGCCGCTGGCGCTCAGGTTGCCATTGGAGCCACCACCGTTGCTGACATGGCTGGAGCGCTCTGAGTTCGGTGTGGAGCCACCGCCGCCATTGCCCGAAATGATGGCCCCCGGGTTAGTCACCCCCACGACGCCGACGTACACGGGCAGGCCATACTGATCCTTCACTGTAAATCCACCGACACTTCCGCCCAGGCCGTTGCCATTCAGACCGCCGCTGTTGCTGCTGCCGGCACCACCTCCGCCTACCGTGTTCGCCTGGTCCCGCATCGGGCTCTGTAATCTCTGCAGCTTCGATGCCGGACAGTCGTCCAGCAGCGCGTAGCGGTCGCGCTCCTCCTTCAGGTCGAGGTTCTGCTGGTTCGTGTCTAGCTGCCGCAGCTTGCCATCGATAATCTCTTGCATGTGGCCGACAATCTGCATCTTTTCGTCGCCCAGCTCCTGCGCCTGGATGAGGCACTGGTGCATGCGGTTCATACTGCGGGACCGCCGGACAGTGTCCGTCGAGTTTTGCAGCGTCAGATACAGGTCATAGTAGTGGTCCACGTCGCGAATCAGCCCTGCAAATGGTGCCAACAGATCACATCAGTTCACGCTAAGTTTGGGAAAGATTTAGGCCGCGAAAACCCACCTCGGTACTGGACATCGATGTCTCGGATGCGGGAGAGCTGCCGCTGCACGTCGTCCGGCAGGTTCTCCACGGAATCAATGTAGTTGTCGACATAGGTGGCCGAATTGATGGCCTCCGACTCGGATGCAATTGGATTTATCATGTTAAGGTTCGATGCGCGTCAGTTCGGCTGCTGTCGCTGCCACATCGAGTGGGTACTGCTAGAGTCTGCTGGAACTGGTGCGCCACAGGGACTGGAAAAGATCGGTTGAGTTACTTTCGCTGCTTTTTATTCAAGATAATTTTTGTATGGCGTTTCCTTGCGACTGTACTTGTGTGCGTGTGTGTGCGTAGGTACATATATATGCAGTGTTGCCAGAGCGTCAAAATAAGCTAGATTTCACAAAAACACAAGCTAAAACAAGCTAAAAACTGTAAAAAACAGGCCAAAAAATAGGCTAAAAATAAAAAAAAACACATAGATACACACATAAAACAACATTTGACCACGTTAGACTTAAAATTTCTATGGCAAATAAAGCGATTTCTTCAAGAGGTTTGTTTTTGCCAGCATCTTTAAAAGTCAGTACTTCTGACCAAACTTTGACCGAAACTGTTCAACGAAAATATACAATATAAATGAATTCTAAAATACCATGATACACCAAAATATGTACAACAAATATACTTTTTGTTCGATTTGCCTAAAAATATATGTAGGATATAAAAAGGCAAACATAAACAGAGTGAAATTAAAACAGGCTAGATTTAAGGCTATAAGCATTTTCATAATTTTTCAAGCTTTTCCGTTTTCAAATAAGCTAGATCTAGCCTTAATTAGGCTAAAATGGCAACTCTGGTTGGACCCTCAGAAATATACCAAAATATACCGGCTTAATTGGAAATATACCATAAATATACTGACGAATTCAAGTTCTATTTTACATATTCCTTGTTTTCGATCTTCCGTCGAATAATACTCGCTATATAGAACATTTAGCCATGCCCACTCAATTTTGTACGATTGATGAATCAATTCTATACATGATTGGCCTATTCGAAATACTTGCATTTATTGGATTTCTATATAACATTGAAAATTAAAACATGGGAGCGTTTCGAGTGTGTGTGCGTGTGTATGTGCAGTGCTGCCAGATTTTGAGCGTCAAAAAAGCTAGATTTCACAAAAACACAAGCTAAAACAAGCTAAAAATTTTAAAAAACAGGCCAAAAAATAGGCTAAAAATTAAAAAAAAACACATAGTGTTATAATTTTATCCAACTCGCTATTACTCGAATCGGTATATTTATCGCTGGAACGTATTAAATTTAAATGACAAATAAAGCGATTTCTTCAAGAGGTTTGTTTTTGCCAGCATCTTTATAGGTCAGTACTTCTGACCAAAGCTTTATAGTGTCATCTGTACTTTGCCAAGGGACTAAGTGAATTTTGCCATATTGGGCAAGAATTCCATCTATATTGCTATAGTTGAAGTGTTCCAATATGGAAATGAGATCATTAGGATTTTTATTATGTTCGGGACATTTTCTGCTGCAAAAACTTGCAGTTTTTCCAATGTCTCAAAATTATCTGGAAGTCTGAAATTAAACAGCAGATTATTATTTATTTTTAATATCAAATCCTATTGAAGCTTACCTTTCTCTGAGTTGGATAATAAGCTCCTTTATAAAATCCTTGCACCTCAATTTTACACAATTACACATTTCACACGATCGCCAAGTTTCTGTGTAGTAGTGACCGAAACTTTTCAACGAAAATATACCATAAATGAATTCTAAAATACCATGATACATTAAAATATGTACAACCAATATACTTTTTGTTCGATTTGCCTAAAAATATATGTAGGATATAAAAAGGCAAACATAAACAGAGTGAAATTAAAACAGGCTAGATTTAATTTTCATAATTTTTCAAGCTTTTCCGTTTTCAAATAAGCTAGATCTAGCCTTAAATATGATAAAATGGCAACACTGCATACATGTACCAGATATGTAGTTAGAATGTAGATAACATGTAACCAAATTACATTTTTCTTGACCTTTTATGTTTTAACCTTGTTTCTTGGACAAACCAGTAAGAAGGGGTCGTTGAAGCTAGCCAGTTTTGCAGGGAAAATAGGATAAAATTATATTACTATCGCTGAGGGTTGTAGTTAGCCAGCAATATTCAACGGAATATCAGAATAGATGAATGTGATTAGCGATGGTGGACAGTACATTAACCCATTGTGACCGGTGGTTATTAACATACACTCGACGCAGTTTAAAGTTAGTTCAGTTCAGGTGAAGGATATCGGGTTTTTTTTTTTTAAGTTAAGATGAACGATAAAATGGATCCACAAGTTGAAATTGTATTATTATTTATATTATTTTTCCGAGGTGTAACCCAAGTTGTTCTGTTTTATTAAAGGGGGCTTTAGTGGGTTAAGATTATTTTTGGTCATACTAAAAACGAAAAATCAAGTGCTTTTGCGCCTACTCTTGCACGGTCACTCTTTAAATTGAACTCGACCTGTACAAACGTGCCCGCGACGCTCTTAGAATTTTCCTTTGTGTGCATTTCTCGTTGCATTTACTTGTGTGTTTAGATTAAAGCGTGTTCGTTCGTGACTATAGATTTGACGATACTTCAAGAGCAAGAGCAACAGATCAGATCAGACCAGAAGCAGCAAGATGATCTCCAATTACGATATCACCGACAGCAAGTCCAGCAGCAAGTAAGTGTGTTCAAGGGACAAAATTTGCCGGCATTTTTAAACGCTACGGGTGTGTGCGTGAGTGTTCGTTTGGTAATGTAGGCGTTGGGCGCACACATTCAAACGATTTGCTGGTATTGGTATTGGTGGTTCTTTCGTAAATTTGCAATAAAACGTTTATCGTCTTTATTTTTTGCACTCTTTCGGTTTCTTTTGGCATTGTGGCTTCCCCACCCCATTAACTCTTATTCCGGCATTTCCGTTCCGAATCTCTGTTATGCTTTCGATTCATATTTCTCTGGTGTTCCATTTACCGCTATATTGATATTTCGCTGGCGTTTTTTCCGCCTTCGACGCTGCGGATAACTGTTAAAATTGAATCGGGCTATAAAGTTATTGTTGTGGACGCGTTTCCTGGAGTCCTCCGCCGCCTGGAAACGCCCTTAACAACTAATATTTGATATACGCCCGCCGTCAGCCATCAATGCACCAGATAGGATGGGGGGGATCCAGCTGCAGCCGGAATTCAATATTCTTACCATTTTAAGCGACACTAGTACAGTGGTGGTTCTAGCTAAGTGCACACCACACACACACACACACATGTAACTGTCGGTCGGGGCAAGGCCAGAGCAGCCAGTGTGCCAGTTTCCAGTTACCCTACCCCTCCCTTCCCTTTGCTTTACGACCATCATGCAGTGGACATCTGTCCGTCCCTCTCCTTCTATCTCTGTGTGTTTTTATACCGTTTGATATAATTTATAACACAGTAAAGGCTCTCTTGATCGGACAGTGCTTTGGAGTACCCGAAACTACTAGAACTATTGGCTGTCCGCCCAACCGAGGTGGAAAATCACTTTCCGCGGATCTTCCTGCCGTCTGTACGGGGAGTGCACTGGAACATTCTTCAGTGTCTGCTCCAATGGGACCTCCACTGTAATTATTTGCGATCCAAATGGCGCTGCCTTTTGTTTTTCGGAAGCACTTCGTATAAGACGGTCTATAAGTGGCACCAGCAGCACTCCTGAGTCATGCTGGAACTATTCTTCTGCAGCTGCTTGGTTTCGCACTTGATTATTACCACCATCATCATCATCATTATTATTATTATTGCTGCTGCTTTTCCGATGGCGGCCGATGAGTAATTGCAGGTCCTACGTGCGCTGGGTGGGGGGGTTTCTTGTACAGTGGCGGGCTGCGATTGTGTGTCCACTGGCGCGCTCTCTCTCCCGGACTGCAGCGACGACCCCAAATCGTATAATTACCGTGCATATATCCATGTTCGGCTATGTTCGGGGCGATGGGGATACGTTTTAGCCATAATGTCGTCACGTGCCGCACTCTCTAGGTGTTGTTTCTGCCTCTACAATATATGCTATATTTAACAAGTCACGCGATCTGAGTGCAGCGAAGTTTCAGGCTGGCGCTGGCGCTGACGCTGAGAGGCAAGTGCATTGAACTCTGGACACATTGCATGTTCGTTTGGTTTTTCTGTTTCTGTTTTCTGCTTCTCGTTGTTGGCCATAAAACTAAATGTCGATTTTGATTGCCTTAGCCTGGCCTGAATTGCTATGTGGCTATGTGGCTATGGGGATGGGTTTGGGTCTGGGTCTGGGCCTAGCCTTTTAGTACGACTCAATGGATGGATCTAATTCCACGCCGATGGATGGTAGAACCTCTGGAGAAAGCCGCGAATGCAGGCGGCGGCGGGCAGGCCGCACCCAAAATGCAGACAGACGACAAGCCCATATTAATCCGTTGCTGCTACTCGCCATAGACCGAGAGAGGGCCAGAACAGGAGAAGGAGGAGGAGTTGATGGTTGACGGTTGACGCATGCAGCCCACACGATAAGCAACCCCCCGACCGACCGACCGACGATACACCGATACACAGAGGCCATAGTAGGACACACTATCTGTCATATGTGTCGCTCCTCCTCCTCCTCCAGATGTCAGGTCAAATGCATTCCAGGCCTGGATGCAAGGGTGGGCCGTGTCCCTGTCCTCCCCGAGTCTCCCTGGTAGATAAATTGTCTTTTTTTTGTGAGTGTGTGTTTAAATTAGGGAAGCCCTAAGAGAGTCACGTTTCCTGGATGGATGGATGGATCTATCCGCCAGTGAGTCATACCCCAAGGCAGAGACCGACCGACCGATTGATGAATGATTAATGAGTGCATTTGGAACGGTGTAAAAGGAGGGGAAGGGAAGCGATTTTGGGTCTTAAAAGGGATTTCAAATGAATGTATCTTCATTTTGTTAGATAATTGTTTTGACTTTATTTTAACTTTTGTGTGCCCTTTGCGAGAATGGGGGGAGTGGGGAGTATGACTAAGGTGCCTCTCTGCTCTTTCCCCCGTCCCTCTGCAGGTATGTTTCCGGCTTACCTTCTCGATTACTCGATTGCCTAATTGGGAACAAGAGCTCCAATACGTCAATGCCTCCCCATGGTCTGGCCTGTGGATTGGCTGTGGCCGTATAAGCAAATCTCAAGGCTGTCTCAAAGCAAGCAAATGCAAAACGCTTCGCTGAGCAGCGAGTATTCGAGTATCTTTGGGTGTAAGCCCCGAAATCAAATGCCCCATTGAGTGACAATTTTG